TTTTAGAGCCCGACCGATAAAGGATTTTGAAGGCCGATACCGATACAAATATTTTTGGGTTTTAAAATCCGATATTCCGATATATCGGACGATTTTTTTTTTTTTTTTATTAAATATTGTTGGATTTCACACACGTAGCTAACTTTTCTGCACAAGATACGTTTGATACTTTTTCTCTATGTCTAAATGTTCACTCCTCGCAAGTCTAACTTACATTTTACAATGCAGGGACTGTAACTAGAGATATTTGAGTTATAAATACAGTAATCATTACTTTATTTAGGCAGAAAAAGTTCATTGTGGTTTCCAAGCTCATTAATGTTAACATTAGCGGTCTTCCACTGATGATAGTGGCATTAGCTAGCTTTGTGGTTAGCTAGTCTAAGATGAACCATAATTTAGCAATAAGATAACATCATACTGCAAATTGTAAAACATACATTTTCAATATAACAGGCCAAGGAGAGATGATTGAAGCGTGTTTCGTCCGTTTTTATTTTATTTTTTAATTATTCATTTATCGGCCATTATAACTGCCGATACCGATATTTTGGAAAATGTCTAATATCGGCCGATAATATATCGGTCTGGCTCTGTTTGCACACAGATGTTTGAGGAATCACATTAACCAATCATAGATTGCTGGTGTAGACTAGACTAGGAATAGGATATCGAAGATATATGATGAGATATGATGTATTAGATGAGACATGAGAGATGTATGGCAGTGTTAATGTCGTTGAAGAAAATTGTTTTTTTACAGACGAAAACGAGACGATAACTGAATAAAACCTAGTTTTGAATGACAAAATCTAGATATTGAATCATTAAACTTAAACATTTTTAGAAAAATCTATGAATAGAAAATTTGTGTTGTGTTTTTCTGGTAATAAAATGAAGACATAAAACACAAATTTAATCATTTATCATCAATTTTTAATCATATGAAATTAAATAAACAATGAGCTTTACTATTAAAATTAAAACATGGATTCTTCCTCAAATTCAGTTTTGATGATAATTTATTTGGATTAGTGTTATTATTATTATTACATTGGGGCACATCTAAATATACCTCAGTAATACATTTCTGTCAAGTTAAACCGAACTTTTATTTTGACGGGTTGCCTTGAAGACCTTCTGAGTTTCTGTGTGTTTGTCATGACGAGAGTTTTTCTCAAATAAAGCGGTTAAATGATCCCGAAGTGACTTTCAGAGTGGATCTAGATTGCATTCGTGTCTTCATATAGGCCAAACACGTGCTTCAGTCTGTGGTAAATGAAACGGCACCATTCATTCACACAAACATGCAGAATTCGTGTTTAAATAGGATTCGTCTTTGTGGTTTAATCTTCACACACACTTGTCTACATCGCGATTTGACTTCAAGTGTACTGAACCGCTTTCATTTATTCCTCAAAAAAAATCTGCTTTATACAGTAAATTACGTTTTTTATGACTGGATTTCGTCAGTATTTTAAGGGCCGACAATGGTAGGGGAAACGTTTGATTGGTCTGATCTGATATGACAGAGATGATCTGGACTGGTATGGTATCATATGGACTATCGAGATGGATTTTGGTGTCCCAAAAACATTGTAAGCCGAAGCATTGCCACTAATAGTCTCTAGTACGATCAACTTAGCTCACAATGCTTTTGAGAAACGCTGCCCTGATCTGGTCTGGTTTAATATGGACTGTTAGACTACTAACCTGGTCTGATATATAATATGGTGTGTGGACTGAATTGATGGATGTGTTTTGGTATAGCAGAATGGACTGGTCTGCTCGGATATAAGATGTGATGTGATATAAATGACTATAGACTAGATTGGATTACTGTATAATCTAGACTAGATTGTGTGGTCTGGTATAGTAAAGTATGGATGGACTGGACTGGTCTTGCCTAATATATGGTGCTAAAACTACTGTAAAAAAAATATTGATGGTTTAACTTAAAAAAGTAAGTAACCTGGGTTGCCTTAAAATTTTAAGTTGATTGAACTGGAAAAAGTGAGTTAATTCAATGAAGGAGATTAATTTAACCATCAGAAACTCAAAATAATAAGTTATCTCAACTGAATAAATTATTATAAAGTTGATTTGACAAAAGAAAATATGTTGTGATAACAAATCTTGAAAATATTTTTTTACAGTGTAGACTGGTGTAGTATTCACGTATGGACTCATCTGGGATGATATTATGTGAAATGAACCACAATAGGCGAGTCTAGACTCTGGGATGGTGTGTGAACTTGATTTGATATGATAGACGGGTATAGTAGGGTCTGCTGTTGTCTGTTCTCGTTTCCTCAGGCTCAGGTTTGCTTCCAGCGGTTGACCCATAGTTTCATAAATATGTCTGTTCTTATTTTGTCCATGATTGAAGTGTTTAACCCCACATTGCTCCAGGTTTGGGTGTGTGTATGGGCTGGTGCTCGAGTGGGCAGTGCGGGTTTGACTCCTGCTGCTATGATATTTTAATTCTCCTCTATTAACTCTTTCCCCGCCAAACACGGAATTTTCCGTGTTTAATGAAAAAACGCATCTGCGCCAAACACGGAATTTTCCGGGTATCCGTGTTTTAGGTGGTATACGGTAAGGAAGACCCGCGCGCATGTCCTGAATGAGTGCGCAACTCTTTGATCAGAGAAAAAGATTGCAATCGTCTCAAATAGTGGAGTAGTGAGAATGTATCAGACAGACAATGCAGAGGTATATGGCTGAAGTACTGGAGGTTAATGGACTCGGAGTCCGATCACTCTTTATTTGATAATTCTGAATCTGATCGGGACGAAGTAGTCAGTGAGAGAGATGCACATGTTGTCACAGAAAGTTCTAGCCATGGACGTGCCGCAGATAGATCGTATAATATTATGACACTATAATATGTGTGTGTGTGCAGGCATTTATGTGTGGCTGTCTAAATATGAAGGTGTAATTGTCAAATTATTTCTCTCTTTGTGCACATTTACCACATTGTAATATGTATTTGTGTGTGTGTGTGTGTGTGTGTGTGTCTAGGCCTGTTTATTGTAATTCCAATTATTCATTATTCACAGGTAGAACACAGAGAGGCAGAGGCAGAAGTTTTATTGCAAAAGTTACATTTCCCTTACATCCTGGGAAATTTGATATATTTTACATTTATTTTATGTTTTTAATTTATTTTGGAAAGTTTTATATATGAAGGAAACAACATCTGAATGTATTTTGCTTTTAAATGCACTTGTTTGATAAAAATACCTTTTTCTCAGTTTTTTGTCCAAAATGTTGTGTTTTTGACAAAACCTACCTCTGTTCAAGAGGCAATAAAAAAAGAACAGATGAAGATAAAATAAAAACGTTTTTTTTTTGCCTAAAAGCAGAGGCTCAGATCTTTATTTTTATATATATCATCTTCATATATTCATGGAAGAAAATATTCAGCGGGGCATTCAAATTTAGTGAAAATCGTCAAAAACCCTGGCGGTGGCTGGCAACTTTTTTTTAAAACGCTGGCGGGGAAAGAGTTAAAGACACACCATGACCCCTGTGTGTGTGTGTGTGTGTGTGTGTTTCTACCCACCAGCCTCATACTAGGGTCCCCCGCTGTGCTGGACAGTCTGTCTCTTACACTCAGACAACTCCTCATGTTACCTAGCGACCGTATCCAGGAGGCAGGCAGTGCGTGGACACATGGACCGCTATGTCTCCCCTTGAGGCTGACTCTCTCTCTCTCTCTCTCTCTCTCTCTCTCTCTCTCTCTCTCTCTCTCTCTCTCTCTCTCTCTGGTATTTTTGTGACTCATGAAGGGAAAATTACTCTAGACTCTGCCGTCTCTCTGCAGGATTGTCTGTGTGTGTGTGTGTGTGTGTGTGTTCTTTTAAGAATCTGCCTGCATCATTCAGAGGTTTCTTGTCATTAGAGTCTGACAGATAAAGGATTTTGAAGGCCGATACCGATAAAAATATTTTTTAGTTTTAAAATCCGATATTCCGATATATCGGCCGATATTTTATTTTTTTATTTATTTTAAACTGGACATGATAGTCACAAATTTTGTCCTGCTTATTTGAGTTAAGAGAACTGATGGGGATGATCTTTTAATTGTTATTCATCGTGACCAACTCAACGAGTGTTGCCAACAGGAACGGTGTAGAGTGCCCTCTGGTGGACAAACTGTACAACTCCAACACTCGTAACATGGTTCAAGCGTGTTTCGTCCGTTTTTATTTTATTTTTGAAATATTAATTTATCGGCCATTATAACTGCCGATACCGATAGTTTGGAAAATGCCTAATATCGGCCGATAATATCGGTCTGCCGATATATCGGTCTGGCTCTACTTGTCATGCAGTTGTCCTGTTAGCAAGACACTGGAAATACAGCAAGGCGTCAGTGCTGCTCTACAGAAACTTTGTAGTACATTTGTTCTGACGGAAATGTTCTTATTCTTCTTATTGATGATCGGGTTTTCTTATCAATGTTTGAAAAAGATTCTGATGTTTTATGCTTGACGAGAGTGATGCAATACTTAAATTCCAAAATATATAGAGTTCCAATGACTTGGATCTGGATTTGATTTTAGATGCATTAGAGAATGAAATGGATATGAAGAGTTCAGATGCAAAAGCCTCTAAATGCCATTTGAAATTTTCTTCTAAAATGATCATTTTTATCAAGCTTGTATATTTAAGTTCAGTGATTTCACTTAAATGGCAATTAAGATTACCTATTAATTGTTATTTAAGTGAAATTACTGAACTTAAATATACAAGCTTGATAAAAATGATCATTTTAGAAGAAAATTTCAAATGGCACTTAGAGGCTTTTGCATCTGAACTCTTCATATATAGCACTGAATTAATCTCAACATTATCTTGACTGCCTCAATTGCTGACCTGTGGTGAATAGCAGAAGATTGTCGTCCTGGTCAAGGACCAAATTAGCAAAATTATCATCTCCTTTTAACACCATATGCTTGACTCATGAGTGTGTGCTTTGTTTGTTTTCTCAGGTTGAGGATGCCATGCTGATGTTTGATAAAACCACAAACAGACATAGAGGTAAGAGCTTTAACATTCTTTAAGTAATAATGCAAAATATAGATCTGAGACTCATTTAATGCTGTATATGACACATAGAGCTTTGATTACTTGTTGTTAGCTTTGATAGTTCACTTTGAAATTAATTTTTGGTATAATTTAGGGCATCCAAGATGTAGGTGTCTTTGTTTCCGCAGTATTTTCGGTGTTGATATTTTGAGCTCAAACCGTTCTTGTCTGTCAGTCATATAATGGAGGTCTATGGTCACCACCTCAAAGAGCATGCACAGAGAAGTCCAGATTAAACATGATTTAATGACTCGTAAATGTAAGTACACATTGATGGCCTAAGACACGAAACGAGCGGTTTGTGTGAGAAAACGATTTTGTTTTGTTTATTTGTTTTTTACACAAATAGCGCACTCATCATGTAGAGTTGTACATTTATTTTTGTCTGTATTTCAATTTTTGTGTTCAAGTTTCATCTTTGTAATCTGTTGCCTAAAACGTGACCAAAAAATACTGCTATTAATACTGTATTTACATTACACCTGAGAGGGAAAGGTTTAGTGTGAACGAGTGTAAGTGATAATGTTTATAAATGTGTGTGATATTATGTTGTGTGAGCGCGTATCCTTCACACACACGGTCTCCTTTCTCTCCCGTGTCCTTCATGCCCTCCAGGTGACTGTTAAACTGCTGTTAAAAGACGCTCTTTGTCCGCCTCCATTCTTTTCTCCCCCTCTTTTCCTCTCTCTCTTCTTTCACTAAAGAGACAGCAGCAGAATCTCACTGGCATTTTCAGTCTGAAATGAGGATGATTGTGTTGGAAATTGAGCTCCAAAGCTCCATCAGTCCTGCTACCCCAATGCATTGTGGGAAGGTGCATTGGCTCTCCTGTGGGCGCATGAATCAGGGATGTTATTCAGACGTTGAAGCGGTTTTGTGGCAGGAATTCATGCTGTTAATTACAGATGTAATGGTGTGATTTTCATCAGGGCTCTGCTGGTTGCTTTTGTGTGCCGTTACAGTGAATACCCAAAGGCCATACAGCCCTCGCTCTGCCAGAACGCACACTGTGTTTGCAAGAACATGGTATCATACAAACCAACATTTATGGCATGTTTTTTTTTTTTTTTTAAATTGTAGATATCGTACACATTGTGAAACAATTAATGTTTTAGTTGGGTTGTGTAGAAATGCATTCTTGGTTCAATGTTCAAACATACTTTTTCAGCTGCTTTTAACAGTAATCGTGAGACTTGTGGGATATATTTTTACTCGGATGTCTTCTAAATCTTGAAAAAGTGATTTTAAGACTTGCATTGTGGGAAATATTGTGATCCTTAAACATGCTTTACAGTGCATCGAGTACACATTGCATTCTTAGCATGGCCAGTAGGGGTGCTGTATTGGGAATTAGCTGAAAGGGATACTTCAGGATTTAGCATTAAGCTTTGTATTAGTAGGAAACCTGTAGTATTTTCGTATTACCGTGCTTTCCCCCCTCATATCCCCCTGAGACGAGAGATTTATGTATTTATTGTCTCCTATGACGCAAAAATCATCATTTTCAGAGTCTAAAGACTCCAGTCAGTAGTCGGGTCTGTCCCGCATGTCCTCAACCCGCCCATAGAGGGCGATCTCACTCACAGAATGAACACATAGTGTCGGCCATCTTGTTTTGGAAGCTAAGCTAGCAGGCTCTTGTTCTGTGGAGAAAGCCGAGTAGTCGGGGTTACCGTCCTCTTTTTCCCGTCGATGTCCGGGATTCAGCTTTTGCTTTTTCATTGTTTACATGCACAGCTTTTGTTTCAATCGAACTGAATTCGTTCCGATTGGTGAATCTGAATGTAAACGCTAAACAAGTGATCGGTTGATGTGCGTTTTAACATCGCTAAGAAAATCCCCGCTCCTCCGTGAGAGATACGAGACCGGTGCGTCTCACAGGTGTCGCTCATGGGTAATCCCGCCGTTCTCCCGCGGCCCTCACTCGTCCCGCTCGCCACAGGAAACAGAATGAACGGCGACTGTAGAACGCAAAAGCCCAATCCCGGACATTTTGGCCGATCTCCAAACACATTTTCGGGCAGACTCATCACTAGTAGCCTAGACTTGTTGTTTACAGATGGATGGATGGATGGATGGATGGATGGATGGATGGATGGATGGATGGACGGATAGATAGATGGATAGACGGATAGATATATGGATGGTTGGATAGATAGATAGATAGATTGATTGATTGATTGATTGATTGATTGATTGATTGATTGATTGATTGATTGATTGATTGATCGATCGATCGATCGATCGATTGATTGATTGATTGACGGGCGGACGGACGGACGGATGGATAGATAGATGAATGGATAGATGGTTAGACGGATAGATAAATGGATGGACGGACGGATGGATGGATTGATAGATGGATGGATGGATAGATAGATGGATAGATAGATGGATGGACGGACGGATGGATGGATAGACGTACAGATGGATAGATAGATGGATGCATAGACGGATGGATGGATGGATAGATAGATGGATGCATAGACGGATGGATGGATGGATAGATAGATGGATGCAAAGACGGATGGATGGATGGATAGACGGATATATGGATAGATCATCATTTCCGATCTGTTAAGAAGTCTCCAGCAGGACTTGAATCCAGTCTCTCTCTCTCTCTTGTCCTCCGTTCACTGCAGTCATTCACATATTTCAGTGTGACATCTAAAACACTTGTGTAATCCAAACTCTCATTTCCCCGTCAAACAGCTGCTAGCGTCTGGCAAAAGGTGCTTTAGTCTCGATTTGTTATTTTGGCTGCTGGTGTAGGAGGGCACTCACTCTTAATGCCGAAGCGCAGTTTGAACACCGCAGCATTAGCGTTTCCTCTACAGTGCACTGCTACTACATTTTTGTTCAAGTGCGTTTTCCCTAAAGAATGCGTTTTTTCTCATCGCAACAAAAGACGCTGTAGCGCCGTCACACCTGTAATTCCCATGCTGCTTTTGCTCGCCCAATTTCCCTGAATATAAAAGTCTGCCAGGATGATGAAAGCGGGTGTAACGTCACGGGTGCTGACGGTCCTGCTCAACAGGCTTGATTACAGCTGGAACTTGGTGATTTTCAAATGATGTAAGTAAAAGTAACAGTGTCTCGGTTTGATCAACAGAGAGCATGAATTATGACTTTTATTGTTGAGCTGCACAGAGAAAAGAAAAGGAGAGAGAGGAGCAGGTGTTGGGCTGAGTTAGGAGTTTTTGGCCACGGATGAGGTTTTGTTTTGTGTGTTTCCGGGATGCTCCAGAGGACAGGATTGTTCCTGGAAGACGAACAGAAGGTGGTATTGTGTGTCTGTAATCTGCTTACCTGGATCAACGTTCCCTGGACTCACCAAAGTCCCCAGCCTGTGTGTGTGTGTCTCTGTCTGTTTGAGTCTGATAACTTTGTGGCATATTACTGTATGTATTTGTGTGTGAGTGCTTTAAGGTTTGTCATTGATATTCTACTTTCATTCAGACTGATTGTAGAGAACAAGATGGTCAGATCCACAATCAAGAGCAGGACATTTTCAGCTCTGTCATTTAAGAAACACTCTCTTTCTTTCTCTCTTCATTTCTCTTGCTCTCTTACCAACTAATTATATATATATATATACAGGGCTTGAGATTAACACTCATGTGCGGGTGTATTTCAGCAGAGGCGTATAACGCAGTCACTCCTACTCGCCACTTTGGCGGGCTGAATTATATATAGGCCTAATATACATTTTTCAATTGCAGTCTTATAAAAAGGCATCTGATGAACTAAGTGCAATCTAGTGTTATAGATTTTTCGTCACATTTCGATACTGAACTATATGAAACTCTTCCGCAGGATGCACCAGCAACGCGTTCTCCCTCTTTAAAACCCCTCTGGGGTTCTTCGGGTCAATAATGACCCGAAGCGTTTAAATAAAAAAATGTTAAAAATCGGAGCTTCACCGGAATGGTCCGAAACTTGGTGACTTTAATGGTACTTGGTATATGAACACCCAAAAGAATTGGGGTCTAAGTGGTCGTAAAAAAATAGTCACACTCAGGACCTTCGGGTCCAAAATGACCCGCATAGGAAATGAGTGGGAAATTGGCAAAAATGTGAAAATACTGAGTTTTTTTTTGTGCGTACAATCTACAAATCAGCAACGATCTTGAAAAAAAGCACACAACAGTGAAGGGGTGAATCTATAAAACATCAAGAGTGCAAAACAGACACACACACACACACACACACAAACACACCAAAAAATTCAGATTATACATGTGTTTTGCATTTTTAAAAAGCTCAGTTTGTCCACGAGATGGCATCCATCTAATTTCAAAAATTGCTTTTATGAGGCCTAGGCTTGACTCCAAAATGAAATACAGCTTTAAAAAATTATTTTTTAAATATTTTTTTCTATTATATTCAACGGGGAAAAATTTGGTCATAATTATTGCATTAATGCTAATTATAATTTTTTGTATTTTTTGAAATTTTCTCAAAACACCAAAAAAAGAAAAGAAAAAATATTATAAAAAAAATATGATTTTCTTTTTTAAATATGAATCCAGCCCATTTTGGGTCAATTTTGACCCGAAGTTCCCGAGTGTGACTGTTAAACGAAGAACCCCAGAGGCGGGTTAATCTTTAATCTATGGTTGACACCCACACCTCTGTCCCTTTTATCACTAGTTTAATTTGCTCTCGAAGAATATTGTTGGCGTTACAGGGTGAGGGATTGTGCATATTGAGCATAGGGCTGTGAAACGATTAATCGCAATTAATCGCATCTAAAAAAAAAGTTTGTGTTTACATAATATGTGTGTGTGTGTAGTGTGTATAGTTATTTTGTATAAATAAATACACACATATGCATGTATATATTTAAGAAAAATGAGTTATTAATATATCAAATATTTATATTTATGTATACTAATAATTTTGTGTAAATGTATATACATGCAAATACGTGCACGCTTGGCCATCAAGTG